GTCACGCGTAAATGAAAACTAAATTTGAAGATTTAAGTTTTATTTGGACGGGAATATTCTCCAAGAATCTGAGCCTTCCAACTTTTCTGTTCCCGAGTTATCAATTTTCCCGCCAAAACTTCCACCCCCTTATACGCAGGGGCCAGACGTGCGTGAGGGATGGTACCGCGGTTCTGGGGTGGTACTTGGCCGGAGTACCCAATAGCAAGATCTCGGTGCTGGAACTTGCTTGGTTGCCGAGTTGAAATACCCGGACAGACGAACATACACACACAAACATACACACATACACACACAGACAGGGTCGTCCCAACATGCGTTTTTGCAATTTGCATATATGCAATACGCATAATGAGGAAGAAACAGGTGCAGTTATCGATGATCTCTTTTATTTAGCAAACTAATTCACACGATACATAACGGTATTACAGCTCTAGAGGCGTGACCCCCGTAAAATACTTGAGAGTGACAAGAAGATAATTTTGTAGAATTGGTAGTTGCATGATAGCAGGGAGGACATATTCCACTTCTTCTTTCATATGAACATACAAAGGTAGATTCTTCAAAGAATTGTCATTCATGATCCAGGGAGTGTAAAAACAGGTGATATCGGTATACCGTAAAATTTGAGGGGAGAAATGGCCTGCTCTGTGCATCGATGGTATGACTACTTCTCCAGTAACTTTGATCACTGCCTGACAACCCTTCTGCTGAAGAAATTACCAACGTCTGTTTTGATTAGGATTATTTTTTGGCCCCTCAGCCGTTCTAAAATATCTCTTTTCTCTGTGTGTTATCTCAGCCTCGTCCCACTCCCTTGCTACTCCCATATCACGGTTTTGTCGTATAAATAAAGTATTTAAATACTCTATGTTTATAAAAAACATACACCGAAAGCATAAAAAGAGTATGAGAACTACTCAAATTTCGTAGCTTAGAAGTGCAGAAAGTGGATAGCAAATTGTGGCAGAATCGTTTCGGCTCGATGAACTAATCTGTCTACCGTTGAATCGATCCTTATCCGTCCCCGGAATGGCGCAATCCGTCACAGGATTGTCTGTGTGTGTGTGTGTGTGTGTCCGCAGCAACTTGTCCACAACTTTCAACTCGAGAACCACAAAAGCTGGGAAGCTGAAAATTTAGGGTAACGTTCCCCACCCACGTACGACCCTGCAAATTAAAATTCAGCCTCCTCGTATCCGCGGGTAACACTTAAGGCCCCGTAAAAGTTTAGGCGGGTGGAATTATTACCACGGAAGCTAGAAGGCTGAAATTTTGTGGACATGTTCCCCCATGTGCTAAGCAGAAAATTTAAATTCAGCTTTCCCCTGCCCGCGGATAACATGTGCGGCCCCATGAAAATTTCTGACTGGTAAATTATTATCTCGGGAACCACGAAGTCTAGGAAGCTGAAAATTTAGGGTTGTGACCCCCTGCCCACGAACGATCTTGCAAATTTAAATGCAGTGTTCCCATGCTCTCGGATATCACCCACGGGCCAGTGAAAATTTCTGCGGGTAAATTATTATCTCAGAAACCACAGTATCTAGGAAGCTAAAATTTTAAAGTAATGACCCCCTGCCCACTAACGATCTTGCATATTCAAATTCAGCGTTCCCGCACTCTTGGGTATCACTTACGGCCTGTGAAAATTTTGGCTGGTAAACTATTATCTCGGGAATCACGGAAGAAGATTTACCCTCCAAGTTTTCAGATTCAGCTTACATGCGCCTGTGCGTGAAATTTTTAACTATTTTTCAGCGCTTCAACTATTTTTGCACAGACTAAAGTGTAAAGCAGTGAAAATCATTAATAGGCAATCGTTCGGTGGACGGAATCACACAAAACGCATGATCGCACTGGCTAGTCTGGTGCACTTTGCTATTTATTGATGTTCTTGTACAGAGATGATCATACTTAGAAGCGCGACTTTGCTGTTGTTTTAGATTCCGCCATCTACTTGATTTGTACCAGGAGCAACCTACTTTGCTTGATTCCGCGTTGGAAACTATGATGAACAAGCTACTGGCTCATATAAAGTGGCCCGATGTTGGACAGTTAAGGTTCATTTTAATTTTATATGCATTGGGACTTTGCATACGATGTTTGATGCTCGAAAAGCTACTTATCGCCGACTGCCTCACAATTCGCTGTAGCAGCTACCAACTGTTCTGCTCCCCCACGGCCTAACGCCGCCAACTTCAGGGCTATTCTATCTAGGCAGAGGTCGAACATTTCCGTTCCAGAGATTCTTAAGCGCTAATACCAACAGCATGTATCTCAGTTTGTTTTCTCATATTGCTATTAAATCAGTGCTGCCAGTACGACCGGTTAATAAAATGGCAGGAAGTCGCTAATCAATACGAAGCCATTCACCGACCGCGTACTAAAGCAGCCCTGCAGTACTGGTGGGGTAGGTACTAATGTACGTAGGTACTAATGAGCTCGAACCTAGCCCCCGGGTATGCGTGGCACCCACGTCCAGGCCCGTGAAATTTTTTTTCGGGTAAGTTGCTAACTCGGGAACCTGAGAAGCTAGCCTGAAATTCTTTTAGCTGGAAGCATCTGACGGAAAAAGTTACGCCGTTAGCGACAAAAATCTGCGGGGAATTGTGCAAAAAGCGCTTCTTCGCGCGGGCAGCCCGTGCGTTGGCCATTTATGCGTTTTGTGCTGCGTAACAGCTGCACAAAAAGCATATTGTCATGGGGTTGTTTGTATGTGTGTCCATAGCAACTTGTTTTTTAGGGGAGGACTACAAAGAATATCATATACACAAATTTGTACATGTACATATATGTACATATACATATATGTACATATGTATGCATACGTATATGTTCTTGTACATATACATACATGTACACTTATATGTGTATATATCCATATATTTCGAGTCAGCTGCTACAAAAATTGTTTTAATTGTTGCATTGCTGCCTTGTTTCAGATTCGATGAGCTCTCGAATCTCGCATTTTCACTGCTCGCTCACGTTGCGAAAGTTCGAGGCTACAAGGCTTTCTTGTCTCTGCTTCCGCATGAAGTTAGTTTTCGTTTGCAGGGAAAGCTTTTCGGCTGGTTCCTCTCAGTCACATTTCTTTCTGTCGTCCTGTTTGACTCACCCAGATTTGTGCTTAATAAAAATTCTAACTTAGCCTTATCTTCTTTTTGTGATCGGTTTGGTTCATTTCATTTCTTTTTTCATACTTTAAGCACTGATTTTTTCTTTTTAAACACAAAATTCTGCTAACAATGACGTGGGATTTAAGGTGAAGCACCTGGACAGAGTGTTCTCCTCGCTGCAACTTTATTCGAATTGTTTTCTGACTGATACAGATACGCAGTATATTCTACTTCTTTGGATGATAATACTGTGCAAAAATCCATTCGACTTG